GTTAATTATACCACCCAGTATCCATACAACGTGTTTTTCTAGACTTATTTATAGATCAAACATTGTACACGAAAATAGGTGACGCATTTTGCCGCCGTTGTCGAGTTGGTTGCTCGTGAAATATTGGTCAAACTGAGGGATTCATAAAGAAAATAAAAAAAAAAACCAATTTTAATTATTTTGTAGAATATCTGAGGAAACATCTAAGACATAAAAAAAAATTTCTGTTTTTTTAACTTTGACGAAATTTGGTGTTGAATCCTTATATCCACGAAAATAGGTTACACCACTGTATATTTTGTATTTTATTTATTTCAGCCGAGCTCATACCATTGTGGCTGTATCATTTGTACAGAAATCCTCTAATGACCTTGGACAGAACATGACTAAAACTTCAGTAATTAATCTAGTAGATTTAGCTGGCAGGTAAGATTTGTTTTACACATTTACTTTTTCTTTATTTGTCTTTATAAAATCATGTTTGTCTACATTATTTTTGTATGCCTTTAGAAATTTAAAGATGGGTTTCCTTATTTTTTTAGTGTCAAATAAAGCAAACTATTTGATTAATTGGTGTTTGTGGCTCTTGTCATTTCATCCTGTTTGAGAATGTGATGGATGGGATAGTATTTTTGCTGTGGCTCTTGTCATTTCATCCTGTTTGAGAATGCGATGGATGGGACAGTATTTTTGCTGTGGCTCTGGTCATTTCATCTTGTGAGAGAATGTGATGGATGGGACAATTTTTTTGCTGTGGCTCTTGTCATTTATCCTGTTTAAGAATGTGATGGATGGGACAGTATTTTTGCTGTGGCTCTTGTCATTTCATCCTGTTTAAGAATGTGATGGATGGGACAGTTTTTTTTGCTGTGGCTCTTGTCATTTCATCCTGTTTAAGAATGTGATGGATGGGACAGTTTTTTTTGCTGTGGCTCTTGTCATTTCATCTTGTGAGAGAATGTGATGGATGGGACAGTTTTTTGTTGTGGCTTTTGTCATTTCATCCTGTTTGAGAATGTGATGGATGGGACAGTTTTTTTGCTGTGGCTCTTGTCATTTCATCCTGTTTGAGAATGTGATGGATGGGACAGTTTTTTGTCAGATTTTTATAAAAGAAAATTGTGTTAGATTTGTATATGCTCCAGATGGACGAGCATGGGCTCTTTTGATTAGATATGTTGTTAAAAAGTGCAGTTATAATTAAAGATGGGTTTCCTTATTTTTTGGTGTCAAATTAAGCAAACTATTTGATTAATTGGTGTTTCTAATGAATTAGCATGTATTCTTAATCATATCATTATGTTCTTATTGAATATAATTAAGAGTTTTAACCAATTGTAATTGTCCATGTATGTACAGTCTGGATAAACAACAAAAGACTTTTTGACCTTTCTTGATCGGTCACTCATTGGAATTCTGGTGGTAATTCTCTTCTAATTTAGCTAATTATGAATTAATTATGGACATGTGAGACAAACTGATATTTTTCCAAGTCATTAGAACACCTCTACTTTCTATTCATATAAGTATTAGCATTTTCATTTTCATAAATGAAAATAAGGGAACCCATCTTTAAGTGTATATATACCTATGTCTCTCAGTCCAGCTGTTATTGCCATTGCCCAAAGTTGGCCAGAAATGAAATGAAATGAATGGTGTTTTACGTCCTACTTTTCTGCACCATGTGGGCTAATGAAGACGGGCAATGCCATGCAAAGTGCCAGGATGGAAATTTTGCCAGGACAGCGGCATTAGCCTGCTCTTTTTCGAATTCCAACTGTCGAGGGATCTTTAACGTGCACAGCCTGTAGCACACAGGGCCTCGGTTTATTGTCCCATCCGAACGACTAGACGCTTTTTCCATGTCAGCCCCTCTTATCTGAAATTGAGGGGTATAAGAAATGAGTAACATGGTATTTTGATGATTGCAGTGAGAGAGCTGAGTCTACAGGAGCTACTGGTGATAGATTAAAAGAAGGGTCAGCTATCAACCAATCTTTAAGTTCTCTAGGAAACTGTATTAAAGCTTTAGCTGATATTTCTATGGGAAAGAAGAAAGTAGTTGGTAAGTAGATGTTAAGATGACTTGGCACTTACAATAGAACTGTAAACTAGTGTTGAAACGGTGAATCAGTTAACCGATTTCGGGTAGTATTTCACGGGTAACCGCGTCTAATTTGAGATAATCAGTTAACCGTCAATTTTATAAGAAGTAAAAACTATTAGTTTTAGTTAATAACTTGAAAATTCAACATACTAACTTAAAAATTCAACATACTAACTTAAAAATTCAACATACTAACTTAAAAATTCAACATACTAGCTTGAAAATTCAACATACTAGCTTGAAAATTCAACATACTAACTTGAAAATTCAACATACTAGCTTGAAAATTCAACATACTAACTTGAAAATTCAACATACTAGCTTGAAAATTCAACATACTAACTTGAAAATTCAACATACTAACTTGAAAATTCAACATACTAGCTTGAAAATTCAACATATTAGCTTGAAAATTCAACATACTAACTTGAAAATTCAACATATTAGCTTGAAAATTCAACATACTAGCTTGAAAATGCAACATACTAACTTGAAAATTCAACATACTAGCTTGAAAATTCAACATACTGTTTAGAACATCACCTTACAGGATGTAGTATATAATTTATGACATGCAAGTAAATTGTATCTAACATTAATTTCAGTACCATTTCGAGATTCAGTACTGACTAAACTATTACAGAATGCTTTGGGTGGTAACAGTAAAACTGTTATGGTAAGTATATAATGCATTATATTTTTTTGTTTATTTTTTCTTCTTATGTGACTTTTAACTTTAAGATGCTTGAAATAGGTTCCGGTAAGTTGGCAAAATATTGCCAAAAGAATTCTCTAATTGTAGATCTGCTTTAAAGATGGGTTGCCTTATTTTTTAGGGTCAAATTAAGCAAACTATTTGATTAATTGGTGTTTCTAATGAATTATCATGTATTCTTAATCATATCATTATGTTCTTATTGAAGTTTTAACCAATCATAAATGCCCATGTATGTACAGTCTGGATAAACAAAAAAAAGACTTTTTGACCTTTCTTGATCGGTCACTCATTGGAATTCTGCTTGTAATTTTCTTCTAATTTATTAAGGATAAGGAAACCCATCTTTAATTGGTCATTTTCAACCAATTAAATTTTGACTTGTAGATTGCTGCTTTAAGTCCGGCTGATATAAATTATGATGAAACTTTATCTACTTTACGATTTGGTAAGTCCTTTTATATTTTTAAAATTTCTCCCTCAGGGCTGAAACTTAGAAGTTGCTCAATAATGAAAACTTAATGGCTTCTAAAGAGAATTTGTTTTCAAAGGGACACTGAAAGTGAGATCTAACAGCTGATACGCTTTCATGGGCTGAATGTTAGACTGGCCTTACATTAGACCTCATTCTAACCCATGTAAAATATAGAGTTTTTATACGCCAACATGGAAATGTGGACGTTTATTGCCGTCGCCCCGTTCGTCCATCTGTCCGTTGGTCCGTCAACATTTCTTGTGAACAAATGAAATTTGGTGTGATCATTTATATTGATGAGATCTTGGTCATGTTCGAATTTGACGATCTTTTTCGATGAATGTTTTTTGAGTTATTGCCCTTGACTTAGGAAAAATGCGTCAAAAGTTGTTTGTGAACACATTAGAGACTACAGTTTTCAATTGGTTTTAATGAAACATGGTGTGATCATGTATATTGATGAGATAATTTGATGTATTTGGGTTATTGATATTGATTTTTAAAAATTTGGTGGAATTTCTCAGCATAAATAACTGTCAGTAAATATATATATCATTGAATTCAAACTAATAGAATTTCTTTGACATGAGAAAATTCATACTTTAGTCACTGAAGACTGTTTTATCATTTCTGACAGCTGCCAGTGGTCGTATGTTACTTTGCCTGGCAAGCTATCTTTTTTTAGTATTATAGATCAAATATTTAGATGACTATATCGTAGGTGACCGCTTGAAACCTTGTATAACAAAATGACTTTTCGAGAAAAACACAAAAAACTATTTGTACGCGTATTTTGTTAAAATCTTTTTTATTATTTTTTTTACCGCTATACGTGGTTTTCATTCTTTGAAAATATAAACCTCGTATAACAATTTGAGATTTCCGGCCTATTGAACCAAAAACTTGTATAATAATACAGTATACAAGGTTTTTCATTTTCATCTGTAGAAAAAAGAACATTGAACCTCGTATAATAATATATTTTACGAGGTTTTAAATCTAACTGTTTATATACGTGTTATTTAATTAGTGGTTTTTGAGTTATTTACAATCAAGCTAAGAATACGAGGTTTTGATCACAAGATCTGCGCTTTTACCATCTTGTGAACGGTACCAAAAAGTCGAAATGACCAAATATGGCATATACAAGCTTTCAAGCGGTCACCCACGATATACCTATTATATTTAATATGTTTTTTTTTATAATAGCTGACAGAGCAAAAGCCATTAAAACACAAGCTATAGTGAATGAAAGTCCAACAGATAAATTGATTCGAGAATTACGAGAAGAAAACCAGCGCTTATTGGAATTATTAAAATCTGGTGGTGCCAGCGCTCTGCTGGCTGGTGCTGGTGGTGGTGCTGCACCTGCTGATACCACATCTGCAGATAATGGTAAAACTTTTTAAACATTAGTAGCCGCTCGACCAACCAATGGAATACATGATTTATAATGCCAGATCCACTTAAAGATGGGTTCCCTTATTTTCATTTATGAAAATGAAAATGCTAATACTTATATGAATAGAAAGTAGAGTTGTTCTAATGACATGGAAAAATACCAGTTTGTCTCACATGTCTATAATTAATTCATAATTAGCTAAATTAGAAGAGAATTACTAGCAGAATTCCTTTGAGTGACCAATCAAGAAAGATCAAAAAGTTTTCTTTTGTTTATCCAGACTGTACATACTTAGATATTTGTTACATGATTTAGAATACATGATAATTCATTAGAATCACCAATGAATCAAATAGTTCACTTAATTTGACAATAAAAAAATAAGGAAACCCATCTTTAACCACTTCCTTAACTATTAACTCAACTTCTCAATATACTTTTGAAAATATGTCTTCAGAATTTCCAGATTGGTCTAAAAAGTCATATCCATTAGGCCATACAAAATAAATAGTCTGTTTTACAGGCCCAAAAATGGCTGATTGTTGCCTTAATATTAAATGTACATTAAATTTGTGGTAATAAATAATAAATGCTTTCACTCGCTCTGATTTATTCCAGTTGAAAATATAAAAAAGCGCTTATAAATAATAAATAATAAATTCGCCCTCTTGCCCCGATTTTTGAAAAAAAAAGGCCTGTAAAACAAGACTATTTATTTTGTATGGCCTTACTATAGTCTATTTTTGAAATTGTAGATTTAGAAGAAAAGAAAAGAGCTCTAGAAGAACAATTCAAACAAAATCAACTAGAATTGGAGGATATGAAGAAATCATGGGAACAGAAAATGGCTGAAACACATCAGACTGACCATGTGAGTGGTTTTGACCAATTAAAGAGATACAGGCGTTCAAAATTTGTTTTACCACTTGAAGCTATATTCCATAATATTAACCAGGGTTCTCGCAGCCTTGAAAAACCCTTGAATTCCGTCCGTTGCATTGAAAAACCTTGATTTAAAAAAAAATCTTTGAAAACACCATAAAAAACCCAATTTCTCTTGAAAAGTCCTTGAATTTTGAGTTGAGTCAAATTGTGTATATTTTTATCATTAACCCCATTGACAAATATTAACTATCTTTATTGATTTCACAGTTCAGAAGTTAGGTGCATGTGTATACTAATATCCTTGAAAAGTCCTTGAATTTCAAAGCCCAGGGTCCTTGAAAAGTCTTTGAATTTTTGAGGCAAAGTGCTGTATGAACCCTGTTAACATACTTTCTCTCCAGGGTACAGATTGGGTGTATTCATGAACATACAATCTAATCAAATCGCCCAATTCCATGATACAGACCTTAGACTGAAAAAGTTTCACTTTTTTGAATACAGTTATGGTGTCCAACTGTATTTTACGGAGCCCCTTAGACGTAATTTTCCGTACTTTTTTAAAATATTTCGTTTTAACGAATTTGTTCGCCCACATCTCTCTATGTGGACGTATACTGTCCGTCCGTCAACATTTGCTTGTAAACGCTCTAAAAACTAAGTTTTTAAGATGGAATCAAATGAAATTCGGTATGTGTATACATATTCATAAAACAAAGATCAAGTTTGAATTTGAAATATTTTCAACCGTTAGAAGCAGAGTTATTGCCCTTGCCCAAAAATTTTGAATATGCTATTACTCTCTTAGTTTTCAACCGATTTTGATGAAACTTAAAATGGATGTTATTGGACCTAAATCGAAAGGTTTGAGAAAGTTTATTTTACTTCTGATTAAATTTAAGGCTTTTTCAAGATTTAGGCCTCTTACGTCAGTTTTGAGGAGTTATCACCCTCTATACCTCTATACAGTAAGTGCTATTCGGTATGTGCATACATATTCATGAAACAAAGATCAACTTCGAATTTGAGCTATTTTCGACCGTTAGAAGCAGAGTTATTGCCCCTGTCCCAAAATCTTGAATATGCTATTACTCTCTTAGTTTTCAACCGATTTTGATGAAACTTAAAATGGATGTTTCATTTTTACCATCCGCATTCCGTGGTGGGCGTATATGGCTGTGGTCCACTATCTTTTATTTCATTTTAGCGAATTAATTATTTCGTTAAAAAGAAATATTTTATAAAAGTATGGAAAATTGCACCTTAGTGGCTCCGTAGTATTTTGCTTCAAATGACTTTATTGAATATCTCCAATTAACCAACTTGTAATATGAATCTTTTTCTTTAGACTTGGAAGGAAAATGAAAATAAATTGAATGCTGAAATGGAGACAATACCTCACTTCTGGAATTTAAATGAAGATCCTTCATTAGCTCACATGATCATCCATTTCTGTCGAGAAGGTGAGAGCACCAGTCTTTAGCATTGGCTAAATCTTTTTTTTGGCTCATTAATTGTTAATAAGAGTTTCGTAATCATTTTTATACGCCCACACGTAAGTATGGGCGTATATTGTGGTTGCTTTGTCGGTCAGTTGGTTCACATTTACCTCGTGCTCACTCTACAGGCTACAATTCTCTATTGATTCTTTTGATCTTTTGTATGTGTGTCAATATCATTATGAAGATGTGCACTATTGAATTTGGTGAGAATCAGATGATTTTCTTCCGAGATATCGCATAAAACTCTGATTTCGAGTTCGTTTTTCTGTACTTTTTTGCCTTGTTCTCACTCCACAGGCTACGATTCTCCATACAGTCTTTTGATCTTTTGTATGTGTGTCTGTCACAACCAGACACTTTTGAGCTTATTAACATGCCTGGCAAAAACAGATAACTCAACATCCCTGCTAAATTTGTTGGTAGATAGAATTTTATGTGAATTTAAACATCTCTTCAAAATAAGTCACATTTTAGAAGTCCTCGTAAATGATGTACTTTTCTTTTCAGGCTCGTCTAAGATTGGGAATCGTAAAGCAGATCATCCACCAGAGATATTACTCAATGGTTTAAGGTTTGTTAAAAATAAAAGAGATGAAGATTGGCTGTGTGACCAGTTATCCCTGATTATCAGTGACTAGTTTCGTTTATGTTTGAACTCTTCAGACTGTGGAGTTCTATTTATACTGTTCATTGACCCCGGTGGAAGGTTACCGGGGTGTGGGTTTTACGAGGGTTACCGGGGTTCGTGAATATTGGGGTTACCGGGGGGGATTTTTACTGGGGTAAGCAGTCACTGATAATCAGGGATAACTGGTCTCTTATACTTTACCTCTGCCAACAACCCAGTTATGGCTAATTTCGTGACCCCCGCGGGCAGTCGTGATCCCCTTTTAAAACTCGGAATTTATAACCATTGTGGTGGAAGAAAATCATTGGCTAAAAGACAAAGAGTCTACTGTTCCACCAACCAAGCTAATGCTAAAGAAGTGAACCTATCTATCCTAAGGGAGACACACCAGTCGCCTCTCAATTCCATTTACCGAGATACTCCAGTCGAAATCTTGACTTCGACTACTTAATATTCAACCAACTCAGCACCAACCCGGACCTAACACAGTCTACAGCCAATATGCCCTCCATTTAACTCCATTGGATTATCAGATTACAAACTTTCCAATATGTTTAATAAATATAGTTTCCTGTACCAAATTAAATTTCTTGCTGAACTTCCTGTTCTTGCTGAGCTGAACTTCCTGTTCTTGCTGAGCTGAACTTCCTGTTCTTGCTGAGCTGAACTTCCTGTTCTTGCTGAGCTGAACGTCCTGTTCTTGCTGAACGTCCTGTTCTTGCCGAACTTCCTGTTCTTGCTGAGCTGAACTTCCTGTTCTTGCCGAACTTCCTGTTCTTGCCGAACTTCCTGTTCTTGCTGAACGTCCTGTTCTTGCCGAACGTCCCGTTCTTTCTGAACTTCCTGTTCTTGCTGAACTTCCTGTTCTTGCTGAACTTAACTTCCTGTTCGTGCTGAACATAACTTCCTGTTCTTACTGAACTTCCTGTTCTTGCTGAACTTCATGACATACAGTTGATGTGTTTCATGAAGTTTAAAATATAATAAATTTCTTTTTTAGTATACAGAAACAACATGCTGTAGTGAGTAATAAAAAAGATGAAGTTAAGATTAAACCAGAAGCCGGAGCGAAAGTTATGATAAATGGACAGGATATTGAAACAGAAACAGTATTACACCATAATGATAGGTACTGAATAATTACGAATATAATGTGTATATCGTGGGTGACTGCTTGCAACATCGTGGGAGCCGTGGTGGCTCAGCGAGTTAGACGCTTGCTCGCTAACCTGAAGGTCTAGGGTTCAATCCCAGCCCAGGGGGTGGGTTACTTCGGCCTGGCGCGAGTAAGTTCGAGCGATGAAGTCATCGCTAAAACAAACGCATTCGAGCATCCACGAGTAAGCGTGGCGCAAGTAATCGAACGGGCAATTTATAACCATTGAGTGAATCTGAAAAGATAAGTTGGCATAACACAGACACAGAAATTTTTCAAACTATACATGTAATTGTTTTTCAGAGTAATGTTTGGTTCCAATTCTCTGTTTGTGTTCCACCATCCTAAAGAATTGCAAAACTTGACCAAAAACGGAGAAAAGATTGACGTTCCAACTTATGATAGTGCTCAGGAAGAAATTGCTCAAAAATCAGGATTAATGAAAAACATTGGCGGTTCTGGTCAAACCAAAGGTAAGATATCTTGTGATAATGATTTTTGTTTCCACTAAATTATATTGTTTACTAGTGTTGAAACGGTTAGTGAATTTTACAAACCGGGTTATTGTCGGCAATAACCATTTGTTACCCGGTTAATTACTTAAGATTATAAAAGCGTCTTCTTCAATGTAAGATTAGGAGCAGGCCTGACAGAGTTCAGACGGACTGGCGCCATTGTCA